TCTGATGCATTCAAAGTCTGATGTTCATTCTCTTTTCCCTGAGTTTCTACATTACGTTTCTACTCAGTTCCAACAGACAATCAAAACCATCAGGTCCGACAATGCTCCCGAGTTATCTTTTACCGAATTACTGAAATCCAAAGGCATCCAACATCATTTTTCTTGCCCTTACACGCCCGAACAAAATTCGGTTGTCGAACGTAAACACCAACACATACTTAACGTCGCTCGGGCTTTACTTTTTCAGTCTAATGTTCCACTTGAGTATTGGGGAGAATGCATTAAAACAGCCGTATATTTGATCAACCGAACCCCCTCCAAAATTCTTAACCACAAATCTCCTTATGAGCTACTCACCCATAAACAACCCACCTATACCCATCTTCGGGTTTTCGGATGCCTTTGCTACGTTTCGACCCACTCTAAAGACCGCACCAAATTCTCTCCCCGAGCATTACCTTCTGTTTTCATCGGATATCCATCTGGTATAAAAGGGTATCGCGTTTTAAACCTTGCCACCAATGTAATTTCGGTATCTCGGGACATTGTCTTTCATGAGTCCAGTTTCCCATTTAAAGACACGAATACATCTTCTCATTCTTCTAGCCCTTTATCTGCTGTGTCTTTTCCTTATCATTTTTATGAATCTTATTCTTCTGATCCTTTTACGCCTTTCCAGTCTCACATTTCTGTTCCTTCTTCAATTTCACGTCCACCTTCTTCTGAACTGTCTTCTTCTGCTCTATCTCCTTCTTCTACAGATTCTGTTCCTTCTCCTCAGATCATTGATTCTCAGTGTCTAATTCGAAAATCACAGCGAGCAACCAAGCCTCCAGCCTACTTGGCTGATTACCACTGTTATCTCCTACAACATGACAAACCCCTATCTCTTGAACCATCCACATCTCATCCATTATCCTCCTACTTAACTTACTCTCACCTAAAGAGCCCTTACAAATCCTTTGCTTTGTCCATTCTCACTACCCCTGAACCTAAAACATACCATCAGGCTGTCAAATCTGAATCATGGAGAAATGCCATGAAGCTTGAACTTGATGCTCTGACTCGAAATAAAACCTGGAGCTTCTGCACTTTGCCACCGGACAAACATCCTGTTGGATCGAAATGGGTCTTCAAGACTAAATATAATGCTGATGGAAGTGTTGAACGCCACAAAGCTCGTTTAGTGGCTAAAGGGTATACCCAACTCGAAGGCATTGATTACCTAGATACCTTCAGTCCGGTAGCAAAGATTACTTCAGTCCGGCTTCTGTTAGCTGTTGCAGCATCCCAAAATTGGCTTCTTACACAGCTTGATGTCTCTAACGCATTTCTCAATGGCGATCTGACTGAAGAGATATATATGCTTCCGCCACCTGGGTATTCTGAACTTCAGGGGGAGCACCTTGATTCTTCGACTGTTTGTAAACTGCATCGCTCTATCTATGGCTTAAAGCAGGCTTCTAGGCAGTGGCATATGAAGCTTTCGACAGTTCTGGTTGCTTCGGGATTCCGTCAGTCGAAGGCAGATTCCTCTTTATTCATCAAATCATCTGGCTCCAGCATCATAACAGCTCTTGTTTATGTCGATGACATAATTCTGGCAGGCAATGATGAGATTCTGCATAACTCTGCTCGAAATCTGTTACAGACTCACTTCCAGGTCAAAGATCTCGGACCCCTGCGTTATTTCTTGGGGATTGAAGTGGCTCGCACTTCTTCTGGTTTACATCTCTGTCAACGGAAATATGCATTGGAGCTATTGGAGGAATATGGATATCTTGGTTCAAAACCTGTCCATACTCCACTCGATATCCGTGATAAGCTCAGCCAAAATTCTGGGGAATTATTGTCTGATCCAACATATTACAGACAATTGGTTGGGAAACTTGTGTATCTCTCTGTTACAAGACCTGATATATCTTTTGTTGTTACCAAGCTTGGACAATTTATGGCTCAACCACGATCTGATCACCTCACTGCAGCATTTCGAGTGTTACGTTATTTGAAGCGAGCACCATCCCAAGGTCTTTACTACCCCGCTTCTTCTTCACTGTCCCTCTCAGCTTACTCCGACGCAGATTGGGCGGCTTGCCCGGACTCTCGTCGATCTGTCACAGGTTATTGCGTTTTTCTGGGCAGCTCCTTGATCTCTTGGAAAGCCAAGAAACAGGTCACCATTTCCCGCAGTAGCGCCGAAGCTGAATACCGAGCCCTTGCTCAGACGACATGTGAAATACTCTGGCTTCGCAATGTTATGCTTGATCTGCAGATTCCTCAAGTGCAACCTGTTACGATCTTCTGCGATAGCCAATCTGCAATCCACCTCGCTAACAATCCGGTACATCATGAACGCACGAAGCACGTGGAAATTGACTGTCACTTTATTCGAGATCATGTGCAATCTGGTTTCATCAAGCCGATATATGTTTCCTCCTCTGAACAAATTGCTGATGTCTTAACGAAGCAAGTTGCTACTGAGCCTTACCAATATCTCCTCTCCAAGATGGGAATACACAATTTGTATTCTCCATCTTGAGGGGGAGTATTAGAAGCTCAAGCACTGGTTTTTGGGTTACTCCTTTAGCAGACAAATAGTACAGCTATTACACCTATACAACATCTCAAGTGTTTTTTCTGATATATAGCCTTTATAGGTCTAGGTCAGATTTTGGGATCGTTCCCTGCATTCGTTTGTGTATATAAACCATGTATTCTTTGATTTGAAGGAAAAATAGAGAGAAAATTTCCAACTTGTTCTCCAAGTTCTTTGATACTCGAAAATTATGATAGTAACGTGTGTTTGTCAAAATACAGTAGTAGTTCCAATTGGAAAATACCGTCGCATTGTTGAATATTACATCATGGTCGGCCAGAAATTAATATTAAATGCATACGAATATTTCAAACTGGTCGTGGGCAAATGTGGCAGCGGCCACGGGAGCTTCTCGGACCATCCGCTGCTGAACAGCGTTGTCGGTCACATTCTGCATTCGTTCATCCTGGTTCCTTACCATGGCTGGTAAGTCGTTTTTCTACTCATCCCTATTACCCAAATTTAGGATTTGATTTCCAAATTTTGTTTATATGCAAACTTGAAAAGATCATGGATTATGGGCATAAAGCGAAATTTCCTAGCTGTACATGATGACGATGACGATGATGATGGGATTCGTTGTATCTTTTTGGAGAACGACCCATCATATGAAATTGATTTTACGGAAAATATAAATAAATAAAATATGAAAGCAGAAAAGATATGTGACCATGAAAAATGGGTGGCAGGAGAATCAGCCATCGGACACACCATCAGAACCATGGCCACGTTGAAAACGACGAGTCCTGGGTTCCGGTACTTCTTTAATCATTTTGATGTAACTCCTATATTATCATATATATATATATAAATATAATATACTGTGATTAATTTGTTCGTGTTGTAAATTGAAAATCTCAGTTGCCAGAAAGCGTGTACAAGGAATTGCCTCACACGACTCGGATGCTGAGATTCACTGTCCCGTTCCCCATACTTGCATACCCTCTGTATCTGGTAAGCCGGTGGTTTTTTGGGTTTTGTAATTTACAATACTATATGGTATATATGTAAATTATTATCATTTTTTTTTATAAAAAAAATGGCAGTGGTACCGCAGCCCGGGGAAGGAAGGGTCGCACTTCAGTCCGTACAGCAAGTTGTTTGCAGCGAGCGAGAGGAGGCTCGTGGTGACTTCGACTGCGTGTTGGGGCGTAATGGTGGCCATCCTCATTTATTTCTCTGTCGTCGTCGGTCCAATTCATGTTATCAAAGTCTATGGTGTTCCTTACACGGTATTGGTTGCTTGTGCCCTCCTTTTCACTTTGCCAATTATGCGTCCTTTTTTTTTAAATATATATTTTTTATATGCGCCATGTTTTTTGGTATATATATATATAATCATATAATATATCTTATTTTATTTTTCAGATATTTGTGATGTGGTTGGACGCCGTGACGTACTTGCATCACCATGGGCATGACGAAAAGTTGCCTTGGTACCGTGGCAAGGTGAATTTAATTAAAATCACTGCACTGTTTGTTTCACATATATGTTTTTTTTAAAAATTTGTCTAAGAAATATAAATAAATTGATTTTATCTGCAGGAATGGAGTTACTTACGTGGAGGGTTAACGACCGTGGATAGAGATTACGGGATTTTCAACAATATCCACCACGACATCGGGACCCACGTCGTACATCATCTCTTCCCCCAAATCCCTCATTACCACCTCGTCGAAGCCGTAAGTTGTTGTCGTAATAATAACAATTGATAATAATAATAATTTGAAATGAAATAATTCGGACATGGTTTCATTTGGCAGACGAGGGCGGCTAAGGGCGTGCTGGGGAGATACTACAGGGAGCCGAAGAGGTCGGGACCGTTACCGTTTCACCTGTTGGAGAATTTGGTGTCGAGCATTCGGAAGGATCATTACGTCAGCGACGCCGGCGACGTCGTCTTCTACGAGACCGACCCCGATCTCTACGTCTACCCTTCCGACACTCGGAAGATCAACTGACCATTCAACGACGTTGTTCTCCCAAGTTTCTAGCTTCGTTTTCTTAATATTCCGTGTCTTGATCTATAACATGTTTTGTTATATATATTGAACTTCCCTAATGGGAGGCCAGAAAAAAAAAAACATTTCTAAGGCTCGCGACGATTGCAATTAGGGGTTTTCCGTTCGGTTATTTTTTATTTCGTATTTTTTTTTCTTTCTAGAAACGCATAAATATAATGAAGCAAAATTGTCTGAAGATGTGGCAAATTGGTTCTTTCTACGTAATTAAGATTTTTATCTATGTATATAATCAGACTTTGATATCTGTAACCACCATCATTCACCAAAAAAAAAAAAAAAACTAATAAAATCCCAAATTTCGAAAATAAAATTCACTGACACTATATTTAGAGTTTGAAATAATGTTATTTTTTATTTATTATTATTGATAATATGTAAATTCTATGCAACCTAAAACTTCTCCATTATTCTCAAATGGCTTCAACATTTTGCGTTTTTAGTGAACAAAGTTATAAGAAAAAAAAAATTCTGCCACAGAGTCTTTATATCTATGTGGAACCCTCTGTTCTCATCATCTCCATGGACCTCACATCTTCAATCGTTTTCTTCTTCCGCTGAATCCATCTCTCCATCAGTTCACTATCTACCTCTGGAAGCTTACATGGCGGATCCCGGGAAAGCTCGGCCGTTGATTTTTCCAGCAGTTCCCGCTCTTTCTGCTCCGCAAAGCACAGCAATGATTCCGGACAGACCTCCTTAGCTGAGGACGGCTTCCTCGGGTTGAATGTCTGAAGCCTCGAGTACTCGTTGATGAGATGAAACATGTAGTCGTACACCCGGTTCATGCTTATGCTTTCCATGTAACCCTGCCCTCTTCTCCCTATTGCCTCTGCCTGTGGAAAGCCATCAAACCCGAGAACGAAATCAAGAATGTAAATCGGGATTGTCATGCTTCGCCAAAAAAAAGGAAAGATGGGTATGAGGAATATAATACCTTAGAGGGGCTGGCATTGCCCCAGTCCACGGCGTTTTTTATGGACCGACATAGATCTGTGGGAGAGACAGGCCAGTAGTTCTCCTTTGGGACGAGGCCACGGCTGAAGAAATCTTCATACTCGGGTGTGATTATCAGTGTCATTGAACCACATGAGAGTATATACTTGAGGCTCACCGACCATGCATACCCTTCTGCATATATTTTGTACCTTTCGGGCACAAAGGGACAATCGTCAAGTCACCAAGAGAAAATGTTCTACAGTGATTCTTTATCGACCAAATGTAGGGCTGGGCCATTGGAGTATATGCTTAAAGGTTTTCTCTCCTATAAGTGATGAAATTTTTGTATGAATGGGTAATATATATATATATATATATATATGTTGGTATCCAAAAAAGGGTATCTGGGCAGGCTAGAAAGGCCATTTAGCATATAATTCCCACATCCATAGTGGTCTATCAACTATAAGAACATTTTGATTGCTCACAAGTTTAAAGTTTTCCTTTACGAGACGATCTTTAGTGAAAAAGTTATACCTAAAATATATGGGTATGTGAGATTAAATGTGGATCCAGTATCGAAAATGATTCATATTTCACACTTCCGAGTTCCGAGTTCCGATCGCTGGACAGGGGGAGAGGGACTAACCGGTGATTACATTGGTTGGAGAGCTTGGACTGTTCAAACCCAGCTTTTGCTTCCTCTACCCAGTTCTGTATCTCAGAGACATTCAACACAAATGCGAAGAGATAAACCGAATAATTCAGAATTGAAAAACCATAATCAGAAGCGAACCTGTCGCATAATCTGAGCTCCCCAACGCCTTGAATGGTTGCATTTCAGCAACTCCAGACGAACAGGCGATTCAACATCAGGATTACCTTTCCAGTAAGCTCTCGGTATCTTGTTGTCCCAGCTTCTTCTCCTGGACCCTTGCTTTATGTCTCCAAACTCCTCTTCCCATGGCCTTATATTCGTCTCTGACCTGCATAAAACATAAGGAGTGTCTTGATTTGAGCACTTTCTCATTACTTCAATTCAAACCAAAGCTTGATTTATCCCATCATCAAGAATTTACAGGGAGAGAAGCCGTACCAACCCCAGAAAGACCAGTCGGGAAATGGAATGTCGAAATGGACGTCGTTGGTGCAGTACCGGAAAAGTGGCACCGGGAAAGAACGGTGCTCCGTCCGATTGATGATGGGTTTGTCCATGCAATCAAACATCATGTCCACATCAGGCACCAAACCCGGGTACTTCTTGAGCAGCTGAAGAAAACCCCATATGGTGAACATCATTCTGCTCTGTACACAGGCGTAGTACAGATCCACATACAGCTTCCCCGACAGTATCAGCACCCGGAATGCTGCGTAGGCCTTTGCCCCCTCCACATGCTTCTCGGTTACTCCAGTCTTCGACCATGGCTCTAGGTCCCGGTGAATCCACCTGGCTTTTCAGCAAAGAGAAAGAACAGAAACAAGATGTTTAATGCAGGACATTCTTTATACCAAGATCCGGGCTAGAATTTAAAAACGATTGGAAAACAGATACACAGAGAATCTATAACTTCGTGAAAGGAAAATCTCGCACTGTAAGAGAAAAAAAAATCCGAACTTTATGAAAGTATATATTATTCCTAATTCATATGATTTGTGGGTGTAAAGTAAATCAGAAAGCTCGGTGATGAAAACTCGCGTTCTACAAGGTAACTATGATCAATATTTTACCTGAAGAAATCCGGACACTGATGTTGCTGTCGATTCCTTAGATGAGCCGACCCAGAAGAAACCCACCGAGGAGTCTCCGTTTTGCCTCCGGCGTTGTACGGACAAGAGAAGTAGGAACATTGGATGATGCGGTAAGCCTGAGAATGCCTTGTCGCCTCGCTGAAGGATTTACGCGGGAAAAGGTGCCATGGTGTTGGTTCCAAGTTGTGTCCCGCAGGAGTTTTTGTCTGAGCTACAAAGTCGTCAACCTGTTCGACCAAATTACCCACCGAATCAATACTCTCAAGACGAGCAAAACTCAAGCATTTACCCGTCAGGTTCCTCGATGATTTCTTATATCACCCAAAACAACACACGATAATCACGTCTTACCCATCAGATTGACAAGCAATCAAGCAAACCCAGATTCCCAAATTTCATCGGATCAATACTAAACACGAAAAAGCAGCGAATTGTTTGCAGTACCAGAAATCCGGTCGAGGAAAGCAGGAAAGGTTTACC